CCCCAAAACCCCAAAACCCCAAAACCCCAGAGATTTTCTAAGTAATCATATTTTGAAAATAAGAAATAATAAATAAAAGTTAAAATAATGCAGAACTAAAAGATGCATATAGCTTCATAGAAATTGAATGAAACTCTGGTTCAGAAGGTAACAGACATGGTAAAGAACTATGAATTCAGTAATAGATTTTAAAAAGACTTCGAGGGATTCAGTCGAGATCATGAGAAAGATTCATAAGGAGATGATTGGGAAACCAAAGTTAATAAGATGACAGATTCTGATTTCTTTGTTGAAGGACTTTTGTATAGGAAGAAATAAAGAGAGGCCTAGCTATAATTGGATATGGCTAAGAGAGAATATAACGAGAAGCATAAAAATGAGTTAAAAAAGCAGCTCATAGCTTAGAAAATAGCGATTGAAAGGAAGGATTTCGATCATTATAATGATCTTGGAGTAATGAATCAAACTAATTCCGTAGAGACCTCAGTTTAATTAGAGTAAAATGAGTATCTCGACTAGTATATTGATGATAGAACTTATCAAGAGAAGTTAGAGTCTCAAGATTTAATCAAGAAAGAAAATTATGAATTCAGCTATAGTGAGTACAATGACTTTTGGGAAGACTTTGAGGAGGATCCTAAATAAAAAATCCCAGTAAGAAAAGAAGTTGTGAATGTAAAAATACAAGAGAATGAATTAGATCTTGAAAATGGTAAAGTATAGGAAAAATAAGCTGAAGAATAACCCCCTGTGGAAACTACTTTTGTTGAGCTTGAGAAATATCCGGCTAAGTTTGATGAATTGGATTAGAAATTTGATAGGTTCAGAAGAGACACTTACAAAACGAATCTTGTTGATATAGAACAGCATTATATCAAGAGAATAAAAAATCTTAAGAAAGCTGTTAGGATGCAATTAAGATATGGGAGATAGTAGGCTAGAGATAAAGCAAAAAAAATCTTAACTGAATCAGTAATTAATCTGACATAACTTTTTAAAAACGAGTTAAATGCTGTAATTGAAAGTTTTTCAGGTTTCAGAAGCGAGCTGAGAACTTAAGATAAATAAATTAATGAGCTTAAAAATGTGATTAAGGAATAAGAATTCATATTGGTGCAAATGAATAATTATATTGCTCATGCAGGGCTTACAATTGGATTTGATTAAGAAATGCTTAAAAGAATGAGAATTGATAGGAAGGCTAATGCAAGGAAAGGAAATACCAAACCTAATGAGATACTTTAATAATAGATTGGTACCCTACCTGAGTTCAATTTCTACTCGTTTTATGTCAATATGACCTTAACTGAGGATAGAAACCAATTAATTCATTAAGAGATGATTGATATTATGGAGGAGAAGATAATAGATCTTGAGACAAGGTTATCAATGAAAGAACATGAATTATTCTCATTTAAAGGGATGCAAGAAGTATATGATTTAAGAGATGATCATTTGAGATAAAAAGTGGCAGAGCTAGAAGGAGAGATTGATGAAAAAAATAGAATTATTACTGAAAATTAAAGAAGGTTAGAAGAGGAACTCCTTTTACAACTGAACACTGAAATATAATTAAAATTAAAAACTTAGAAGTAGCTTTAAGATTGTTTAGATATGACAAAACAAGAAATGGAAGTAAATGAATAAATCAAGGATAAGTAACAGAAAGTCATCATTTAGCTCAAATAAGAAATGAAGGATCTTAAGACGATTCTTAAGATACCTAGGCTTAGGAATATGCATATAAATAAGATGAATTTCGAGGAACTCCAAAAACTTAAGAGCTAAGAGTAATTCTACTATGAAAATCTAAGCTAAAGTGATGCTGGTCTAACTGATGACTTGAATAGATTTCATGCTTATCTAACATCTGCTCCTGCTCATTTACCTTAACAAAGAGGACTTTCATCTGACAGAAAGTATGATGATCCAACTCTTAGCAGCGATATTAGAAAGAGAGCTTAAGGCATCTTTAGTGAAAGTAACAGTAGCAAAGGATTCGAAACTGAAAGAGGCTCTGCTAAACCAAGATTCCCTAGTATCTTAGGGAATAAGGATTCCATTGTTCAAAAATTGCTGTCATAGATTGACAAGGGTGTTACCCAGATCAACATTAAAGAAATGCAGAAATCTATGACCAGAAATAATCGTATTAAAGAGTCTATGAGTTATTCTCAGCTGCCTTCTGTGCAGTTTAATTTCGATTCTCTTTTAACAACTCATGATGTTTCTAAAAACATTATCCACTGAAGCAAAACTCTGATAAATGAAGCTAATATAACCAAAGCTTATATCTAACTTTATAAAAACTAAAATTTATTTCATAAAAAATATCCTATAAAGGTTATTCAAGATGGATTGATGGGGTTTTGGGGTTTTGGGGTTTTGGGGTTTTGGGG